ATTGGAATGTAGAGTTGCACACATTGTGTTTTCAGCTTTGAGTGACAGCTCTTCTACTTGCTGCTTTACTTTCAGACCTTTTCAGGAAGAGCCTTTAGGAAGACCTTTTCTGCAAATCTGTACATCTGATGATAATAAATATTTGAAAATCAAATGCAAAAACCAACAAATGTAAATGCTTTGAAATGTTTAAAAGTAATTAGTACCATGGCATAATTATGTTCTTAAACCAAGCACCTTCAAAGATAACAAAATGCTTTGCTTTCATTTCTATAGGAACCTGTCATTCAAGAAAAGAAAAGGTCTCTAATAACTCCTGAGATCAAATAACCTTAGCTATGACAGTGTTATATGACTGGAAAGTATAGTGCTGTAGATATATAGCCCAAACCTCAGAATAATAAAGTACTCTGCAAGAATATATAAATGGAGGATTGCCTTTGGATGAGTATGTGGCCTTTGGATGAGACTCTTGTATTAGACATTCAGCCAAGCTGTGGATGTGCTGCACTTCATGCCTTTGCCTTACTGGCTAGAATCTACTGTGTGAGTGTATTATAGATCGTTAATGACGTATTATAATGGATTGTTAACTCCATTTCACAGTTGAGGGATATTGGAGCTGTTTCTACTTTTCAATGAATAGTAATGAAGTTGCTATGAAAATTCCTGTTCAGGTTTGTGAAAGAATGCTACTTCCATCTCATTTGACTAAACACCTATAAGTGAGAAGGAAGAGGTTATATGATGTGAAGTTTACCAGAGCTCTTTTCCAAAGTACATGTTCCATCTTTCATTCTTTCGTCATTCTTACATTTTTGTAAAGTATATGTTGAAATCTTACTTAGAGTTGAAATAATTACTATGTATCCTTATGCCATACATGATGTTTAGAAATGTATTTACACTGTTTTGTAATTATACCATTATGCTATAATTAATTAGCAATTAATTAAATTATATCTTTTTTTCTGGAGTGAACACTGAAAAATCTGGTGATTTTTCAAGTATGCACTATATTGTTATGTGTCCTCTGAGCAATAGCTCTCATATTTTTCTGCTCACAACCATTTAACTTTTGTTTCTATTTCTTTGTCCATCTTTTATTTTAATAAGGACATTTCATTTCTTTCTTGCTGCTGGGCTGTTTGGGTTTCTTATATTTTGTAGATACACACCTCTCATCAGATGTGTTTTGAAAATATTTTCTCCCATTCCATTTTTTGAGCATATAGTTATCTAGTTATTTCAGCATTACTTACTGAAAAAACTTTACCCTCCACTAAACTGCCTTTTTACCTTGGTCAAAAGATGATTGGCTATATACTTGTGAAACTATTTCTGTACCCTTTTTTTCATTGTTCTTGTCTTAAATCAGTTTTTCTCCAGTAGTTCTTTCCTGACTATTGTAGCTTTAGAGTAGTAGTACATTTATAAACCAAGCACTATATGTGAGATCGGTAACTTTGAAGAGAATGTGCAGTCTTTCTATTTAGAGTTCTCCATATATTAATTCTTTTAACTTACTTGATGACACTCATGTATCATATATCCTTGCTGAGAGTTGGCTTTATGTATCTATGGATTGCTGAGAGAGTGTTGAAGTGTCCAAGCATATTAATGGATTATTCTATTTTTAATTTTTTAAAATTATCTTTAGTTGAACAAAGTAGTTTATGAATAAAATGCATCTTACGTAGTGTCACCCCTTTCAGCCTACCCCTTCCCTTGCTTTTCTTAATTTTGTGGTATATACAGTGAATTCTTGACTGCATCTTCTCCCTTTCCTCCCTCATTTGCCTACCCCTCTCCCCTTGACCCTACCTCTCCTCTTGCATTGTACCCCTTCTCTGATGGGCTTTAACCTAGTCTTTATTAAAAAGAAATTATACTATTTGAGCTGTCTATAGAGTCTCTTATATTTCAGGTAATTCATTTGTAACATACCATCCAACATACTCACTTAAAGATGCATCTACCACAAGTGAGGGAAACAATGCAATCTTCATTTTCTGGGTCTGACTTACTTCACTTAATATAATTTTTTCCCAAGTCTTTCCATTTCCTTAGGAATGGTACAATATTATTTTAATAGGTGAGTAAAATTTCATTGTGTGTGTGTGTGTGTATATATATATATATATACACATATATATTTTCTTGATTCATTCGTTCATTGAGGAGTATCTGGGCTGATTCTATATCTTGGCTATGGTGAATAATGCTGCGATGAACATGGTTCTGCTGATGGCTTTACTGTAACCTTGTCTGTATTCTATTGGATAAATGACCAGCAGTGGGATTGCTGGGTCATAGGGTAGCTCTAGGCAGTTTAGTTTTCGAGGAGCCCCTATACTGCTTCCCAGAGTGGTTGAAAAAGCTTACATTCCCACAGTGTATCAGAGTACCCTTTTGGCCAAATCCTCACCAACATTTGTTGTTGTCTGTTTCTTGATAATGGCCATTCTAACGGGGTGAGGTGGAATCTATGTTGCTTTTACTTTCATTCCCCTTATGGCCAGAGATGTTGAACATTTCTTCATGAGTCTGTTGCCTATTTTTACTTCTTTTGAGAGTCTCTATCTCTCTCTCTTTTAAGTCGTTAGTCCATTTATTACTTGGGTTGTTGTTTCTTTGAAAGTTTATTTTTGAGGTGTTGCTACTTTGAGCTCTAAGTATATTCTAGATATAAAGCCATTGACTGATGTATAGCTGGTAAAAAAAAAAATCATTTTCCAATCTGTGGGCTTTCTTTTTGACTTGTCAGCTACGTACTTTACCAGGCAGAAACTTCTAAGTTTTATAAAATCCCATTTATCAAGACTTTCTTTGATTTGTTGTGTTTCTGGATCTTTACTTGAAAAATTTTGATCTGTTCTAGGAGCTCAGGTGTTTCCCAATCCTTTCCTATATGAGCTTCATAGCTTCCATTCTTACATTGCATTTTTTTATGTTTCAGTTTATCAGTTTTGCTTCTTGTGTTTTGAAAGCTTGTTATTAAGTGCAAACACATTTAAAGTCATTATTATTTTAGAGAGTTGACCTTTTAAAAATTATCTTTATCAATTTTCTGCATCTATTTTGTCTGATAATAATCTAGCCATTTCTTTTCTGTTTATCAAGATTTTTCTAGTATTTTTTGTTGCTTATTTTATTGTTTATTTATTTATTTATTTATTTGGTCATGGGGCTTGAACTCAGGGTCTGGGCACTGTTCCTGGGCTTTTGTACTCAAGGCTAGCTTCTCTACCATTTTGAGCTGCACAGCTCTACTTCTGGTGTCTGGTGGTTAATTGGAGATAAGAGTCTCACAAACTTTCTGCTTGGACTGCTTTTGAACTGCAATACTCAGGTCTCAGCTTCCTGAGTAGCTACGATTACAGGCATGAGCCACCAATGCCTAGCTCATTTTACTTATTAAAACTATTTATGTTTTTGCTCTTAAAATACTTTGGAAAGCCTAAGCTTAGTTATGGATCTAATATAATTGTTTCTAATTTTTAATTGATGGTCTCTAAGATTTACATTTGATATAATCATTGGAATATAACTGATCAACGTTGTTGGTTGTTTTATTTGTTAAGGCACTTATTTTTTTCACCTCTGAGTTTTATTTTTGATTATAATGTTTTAACTTTATTATTGATTTTTCTTTTAAAGAATTATTTTATTTACTACTGTAGGTTATACAATACAATCTGTATTTAATCAGTACCTACTAAAATAATATCAGATAACTACTTGAAGTATAAAAACTTAACAATAGTATTTTACCAATTTATCCCTTTTTCATGCTCTTTAGTCATATATTTTATTTCTACATATTCTATAAACACAAAGTATTATATTCTTTTCTTTAGAGATCTATCTCATTTCCTTACTTATGCTAACTGTAACCATTCTCTACATCACCTCTACAATAAAATTTTAAAAATAAAGTAATTAAAATAAGAAAAGAAATGATTTGGGGGTTTGTAAAAATGTATTATCTTTAAGTAGTTGTACTATTCCACAATGAATATTTTTACTCACTTCATTTCTAGAACCCCTTTTTAAAAAATATTCTTCCATTATTTCTTTATGTGTACGTTGTCTTCCAAAGATTTTAAATGTAACAATGTTTTTTCTTAGCCATTAACAAATATAACACACCAGACCTGATTTCTCAGGGCTCTGTTAAAATTTTATTAGGTTTGGATAGCTGGGAGCATGCCTGACTTTTAACTTCGTTGTGTTCACATAGAGTTACAGAACCATAGGAGTGAACAAATCACAAGTGGTCCTTTGGCCTGGTCTTCAAAGTCTGAAGGATTTGCTTTAAACTGACCCTATTTTAAGATATTCCCAGAAGTTCTCTTTCTGAAGTTGAAACTTAAATTCTAAACTTGTTTGGTCTGTGGTTCTCTTTCTGTTGTCTCTGTTGCTCTTATTCTTGCTTTCTGTGTGAGACAAGATCCTTCAAACCACACTATTCTACTTTTTAAATGCATCCCTTTTTTTGTAACTTTACTCACAGATAAAAATAGCTACTGAGTCCATCCCTACTATTCTATTTTATGGTTTACAAAAAAAAAGGGGAAGGGAAGGGATGGTGGGTCTCCAGCTCTTTTGCGATTCAGAATAAGTACTGACTGATCAAACCTAATAAGAGTGGTGAAAGCCCTCTCTCCTAAGGCATATGCTTTATTTTACTGCAGATATATACCACATACTTTTAGCAAACTCTGGTATACTGAATTCTGGTGGGCATTCTGCAAAATTTATGTTTACCCGAAGAGCGGATTTCCTTGAGAGCCTCTTGATTGAACTGGGCAGGAAGACTAGATAGAGTAGGCCCAAAAGCTTATCATTTCTCTGAGCATACTACATGGAGTTGTAACATCTAGTAGGAGATGAACACTTGTGAGTTATGGGTAATTGCAAGAGACACTATTGTCAAGCTTTCCCCTGTTCAATCATGTCCAAAGCATAACGTTTTCTTTTTCTTTTTCCCCCTCAAGGGGTGCTACATCCATTGTGTACAGATGCAAACAGAAGGGGACCCAGAAGCCTTATGCTCTCAAAGTATTAAAGAAAACAGTAAGTTTGTTTCATTATATAATAGTATCTCTGAGGGAGCTGTGGCCTGAGAGGTGAGGATTCTGACTCAAGGTCAGGAGCTGCTGTGTGTGGTTGACTGCTTTGAATCTTGACTGTGAGCATATACCCTAAATGAATTGTTGTCTGATGGAGCCATCCAACCCTTTACAAGCCACTGGATCTTGGACTGGATATGATTTGTGGGGACACATTTTATATGTCACATTTCAATATTTAAATATTAGAATCTCATTTTACTCTACTGGAAAAGCTTGCTTCTTAAAAGAAGCAGAAATGAAACACAAATATCTCTGTGAAACAAGTCACGTCCTGCTCAGAAGTTAGCATTTCAATGACTAAACCTGCTATAATTTGAAGGTAAGATTTTGTTTGGGGAACATTTTGTTGCCCTAAACTCATGAGTGAGGAAGAGGCCAACCAAAGTGTCTTATCCTCTCTAATGAGTGACACACATAAGCATAGAGCCTGTGCGATGGCTTGTGGCCTTTCCTGGACCTTCTATCCTTAGATAATTTTCTCTCATCAAACCACAAAGGCACATGATACTCATAGCACATTATTCTTTTTCAAATTTTATGTGAACAAGTATATGAAGCACATATTTCTGAAAACCCAGTTGTAATAATACATCCTTAAGAGAGAAGTGTCGCCAGGCACCAGTGGCTCACGTCTGTAATTGTAGTTGCTCAGGAGGCTGAACTCTGAGGATTGCAGTTCAAAGCCAACTGAAGGAAGAAAGTCCGTGAGACTCTTATCTCCAATAAATCACCAGAAAACTGAAAGTGGCGCTGTGGCTCAAGTGGTAGAAGGCTAGCCTTGAGCTGAAGAGCTGAGGGACAGTGCCCAAGCCTGGAGTTCAATACCCCCCCCCCCTACACACACATGCACACATACAGACACACACAAGAGACAGAGAGAGAAACACAGAGAGAGAGATAAAGAGAGAGAGAGAGAGGTGTCATATATTTGATGTCAAATACCTTTTTTAGGCCAAAGAAGTCTGGTCTTTGTCACCTCCTCCCGCTAGACAATATCACCACCAGCTGTTTATTCCCCAGGGGAACTTTAGACCTGTCTTAGGGGAAATTTAGAACTTCATAGAACAAAGAGTGAAAAGTATAGTGGCACAGGCTTTTTAATCAAGTGGAAATGGAATGACATTTGGAAACAATCTGTTGGAGTTTAAAGCAATATAACAAAGACAGTTAAATCAGGGAACTATAAAAAGAACTAGATATATGGAACTCTAGGAAATAAGCATTCAGAAATTACTTGTGAAATGCTCAAGAACCCCACAGGCAAAAACTGGCTTAGAGAATATTGGTTTATGAAAAAGCAATCTTTGCTAGGTAAAGATATTTGATATTTAGTGGGTTCTTAACTCCTATTCATTGGGAAAGTACAGCTCTTTGATCCCCCTCCCTGCTTTTCCCTCTGCACCTTGGCTGTTAAACACCATTCTCCTAAGATAGGCAGGAAAAGAATGTGGATGGGAACCAAGTGTCAAATGGAGCTGTAAGGCAGATATTGTCAAACACAGTTACTGCTGTGCCAAGTGGAATGAGAGGAAATCCCCTGGAGGAGCCTCAGTTCTGAATTAGATGGAATCCCAGCATTGTCTTCAAGGGTAAACCATGTGCAGAGATGTGTAAACGAGAGAAAGGGCAGGCCAGACCTCAAAGCACAAACTGCCTCCAGTGTTTAATTCCACAGAGGTCCCTGAGATGGAAACTTCCTTGTTTAAATGAAATGAGTGCATACTAAGGAGCTATTTATAGAGGGAAAGTGATGCTTGGGGAAATACATTTTTGGAGAATTCAGCAAAAGTCTGGTGCCTGAGGATAAAAGAGGATTTCAGAAAGCTTGAATTATTTATGTAATCTACCTATTAAGTTGAACTACATAAAATTGCCTCTATATTAAACTATTTCTCACCTATAAAATGGCAATTTTATTTCATTTAATAACAGCCATGAGATGTCAGATCCTTATTTTATGACAAGACCCAAATATAAGAAATCTGAATCCTAAACTTAGCCTGCCAACATCTGTCTGTCTGTCAGTCTGTCTATCCCTCTGTCTGTCCATCTATCCATCTAACATCTGTCTGCCTTAATTTTCTAGATGTAATGAAATGAACTACCAATAATTGGTGGCTTAATACAATAGCAATTCATTCTCGCAAGGATCAGGAGGTTCTGTTCTGTATCCTTTGTCTCTCACCCAGCTTCTTGTGAGAGAGGGCAATTCCAGATGTTCATTGACTTGTAGATTGTCATTGTGATCTCCATCTCCACTCTCATGTGCCATCTTCTCCCTTCATCTCCCTACAGTTCGCTCTGTGTCTAAATCACTCTTCTATGAAGGAAACCAGTACTGCTGGGTTGTAGATCTATCCTCTTCTAGCATGATCTCATCTTGACTAATTACACATCATCTGTAACAACATAATTTCTAAGTAAAGACACATGTATTTTGTGGTTTGGGGGGGGGTAGACACAGTTCTACCTATAATATCTATCAAGTAAGAGTGAGAACGTGAATTTCAAATTTCAAGAATAATTACAAAGAAACAACTCAATTTATAGATGATTTAACTAGTATGTAAACATTTTATGCCTAAGAAATGTTTCTTAACTCTTTTACAGTTAATTTGTTGATAACATTATCTTTCTCAGAATACATTTTTCCAGGGTAACCCAGATTCCTTTTAGGACAATATTAAGTTCCTTTCTCAGAGAGTAACATTTTAGGAAGAATTAAGTCAAGCTAACAATAAAAGACTTCCCCGTAAAAACTCTGATCACAGTTAGGAATTCATTATACACTCAAATGCTGGCATGATAGACAAATACCCTGGCTTGAATTCAGGGATGTAGATAGAGTCTGGTTCTGATGGAGAAATGCATGGGCCATCAGTAGTCAGGTACAGAATCCAGTGAATACTAATAATGAGCAGGAAGTAAATTTTCATGTTTTAGACAAGTGAGCATTTTACTCACTTGGGAAATGAACATGTAACTATTATAAGAAAAATATGTTTAACTTGACCTTTATTTTGTATGGGAATATAACATCATATATTTTATATGGTATGGTTTATATCGATAATTACATTTCAAAGAATTAAAAAACACTAAAGTACATGTCAACCAGTGTTATAATATCTACAATTTTATTTTAAGTGGTTAAACAATAAAAATATGTATGTATATACATGTGCATGCATGTATGGAGATAGGATGAGATAAAGTAAATATGGCAGACAACAATTCTAAATACTGAATGTAGGGCATTATAAGAATGTCCATGATGGTTTTCAACATTTGAGTATATATGAACATTTTCATAATGAAAACTTAGGAGAAAAACAAAATTCAACGGTCTGTTCAACATAATTGAACATATTTTTAACCATTCAGAAAGCATTTCAAGAATTTACAGCCTTTTGTATTATGATAAACATTGCTAAACCTCATATATGTAATGAAGTACAAAAACAGTAGACATAGCTGTTGAATTGATACTTTTTTATAATCTCTTTTTTTTGTAAAGATGACATACAGAAGAGTTACAGTTATATAGGTCAGGTAATGAGTGCATTTCTTTATTAACAGTGTCACATTGTCCCTTCATTTTCTCCCAGTTTTTTCCCTCCCAATCCCTCTTCCCTACAAGTTATATAGTTTATTTCCAACATAGTGTCTAGTGAGTATCACTGCTGAATTAATTCACCCTTTGTCCCACTATTTCTGTACTCCCTCTTGCCCTCCCCCAAACAGATAATCTTATATACAAGACAAAAGGTACAGAAATCAAAAACAGCAACAAAGGAGAAAAAAAATATTTTACTGAATTGAAAATCCTAGACAGTTCCTGTAACATTTCCTGTCGCTTTGATAGTATTAAAGGTAGGGAAATAGACTGGAGTACTTTGTTGGTTATTCGTTTATTTTCCATTATAGATTCTTGTGGCAACAGCGTTGTGGAATCACTAGGTATACCACTCATTCTTCCTTTGCCTGGGGTAGGGTGCAGGGAGAGTTGGCTTTGTGTTTTGGTTTGGGGCATTACTGGAATTTGAACGCAGAGCCTTACCTTTGTCTATCTTAGTGTGGTTCTTGTGCTTTTGGCTTTCCCCTCTGGCAACCTTCCTTACACACACACACACACACACACACACACACACACCTACCTAAACAAAACAAAACAAAACAAAAAACACCTCTTAGTCTCAGTCCTGTCTACAAAATGAGGACTGTCTTCTTTTGCAAATAAATCAGTCCCTTTGAGTCTGGCTTTCATGTATGCAACTGCTTTAAGAACATTGTAAGTTTGTTCTGAAATATATTGTTATGTACTCCATGCCCCCAAAGTCAAATTTTTTTTTCAGAATGATTTTGCTGTGCTTTGAATGTGTCATGCTGCTGTAGAACAATGCTTTAAAAAGTCCTAGAATTTCTTCCTTCCAATGGGGAGTGTCTACTAAGCACAATCTTAACTATTTCTAAGTCTTAAAAATACAAGCTTGCCAATTACTGGTGGCTCATGCTGGTAATCCTAGCTACTCAGGAGGCTGAGACCTGAAGCATCTTGGTTCTAAGCCAAGAAGAGCAGAATTGAGATTCCAGCTCCAATTAAGCAGCAAAATGTGGGACTGGAGGTGGCAAAAGTGGTAGAGTGCTTGTCGGGAGCAAGAAAGCTAGCAGGAGTTTGAGCTCAAGTACCACTACCTACACCCACACCCACATCCCCCCCTACACATACACTTTTCATTGGTTTTGAGGCTACATATCTAAAACATGATCTGAGCTCATGACTGACTGATATTATGTCTAACTGGAAAATGTAACTGTCTTCATATAAAACACAATGTCTAAAATGTGAGCATATTCTGCCCTATTTTCTGCTATCATTTGACTTTTTATATTTGTGCCTTTTAGTTTAAGAAAACAAGTTTAACACCTGGCAGCTCTTGG